GTCCAGGCTCCTTCCGATAAAGGAGGTCTCTGATGACACTTACGGCGAGATCCTGAGGAATGGAGGTGAAGAGGGAGACCACATCAAAAGAGACCATGGTCTCATCCTCATCCACCTTCAAGTCCTCTATCCTACTGATAAATTCCTCCGCTGATTTAACAGTAGTGGAGTTATCCTGGACCAGGTAGCCGATGCGATTGCTGAGCCATTTGGCCAAACCTGAGGTTGGAGTGTTCCTGAACGACACAATGGGGCGTAAAGGAACACCTTCCTTATGGATTTTGGGCAAGCCATAAAATCTGGCGAGCGCCATATCCCCAGGGCGGATATGCCCTAGGGTGTAATCACTGATTCTATTTTTACGCTTCAGGGCGTTGAGTACTTTGTTGGTAGAATTCCTAAGTGTGGTCGTAGGGTCATGGGAAATGACCCTATAAGAGGTGGTATCCCCTAGGAGATCAAGGGCTTTGTGAATGCACTGGGCCCGGTCCATAACCACATTAGCCCTGCCTTTGTTGGCCGGCAAGATGCTACGGTGATGTCATGTGACTGAAATAGTTTGTTGGTGGTTTTGGAGATTTTTTTTTAATGCACGGGAGTGTTCTTTTTTCACAGCTTGTGTTGATTGCGTGATCAGTCACTTTTTGATAATGGAGTAGATTCTGCACATCTGCTTGGGCAGATCTGGAATATTCTCTTGAACAGCTTTTATTTCAGAGGTCTTGAATTCTAAAATTTTGTTTCTCCTATTATCTGCTTGCACTAAAAATGGCATTTGCCTAAAAAAAAAAAAAAAGACAAATATCAATATCTGTCCATTAAAATCCTTTAAGAAACCCCTAAGAGGCCTCTCCTTATTATATGAGAACAAGTTTCCCAACCAGGTTGCTTTTAGACCCTTTGGACTACGACTCCATGGGCGTGGGAGTCGAAGTCCTCTCCATCTGTAGGACTCCAGTGTGAAGAAGAAGGATTTAGGTTGAGAGAGACAAAGCAAATAGGAGATGAAACTGCCCTTGATGCTCACGGCTCTTCCTGTTGCCTTTTCCTCCTGCCACTCTGGTGTAGGTCAGCGAGCCTGTTTGGGAGAAAACCTGGCCAGAATGGAACTCTTTCTGCTCTTCGCCAACCTCCTGAGACGGTTTTACTTCCGGCTCCCAGAAGGAGTGACTGAAGTGAACACAAAATACATGAAAGGCATGACGTTGCAACCACGTCCGCAGCTGCTCCATGCTCTCCCTCGCTAGCTCAACCTGGCTTTGCGAGTGGCTGAAAAACCCACTGCAGTCTCGCTGCACTGCATCTGCACTGGCGACACACAGATAAGCCTCCAGGTGGCATCAACGACCCTCTAAAAGAAGGCAAATGACCAGCTGTCTGCAAGGAGTATAAATCAGTGATGGCAAACCTTTTAGAGGACGAGTGCCCCAAAACTGCCCCGCCCCCTGCTGCCCCCCACTTCGCTCACACCCCGCCTGCCCACAGGGCCACCCACCACCTCCACTGCCTGCCACAGCAGATCGCCCAGATGGCCCTGCAGCGCCATGGCGGCCACGCCCTCTCCCTGCACCCCACAGCAGCATCTGCACATGAAGGGCATAAGGGTGGAGTCTTGTCCCTGCTCCCGGCTGCCATGTTCTTGGCTGCGCTACTATGTGCAGGCCGACCCTGGGGGGGGACTCTCCTCCAGGGGGGCTGCTGGTGAGGAGGAGGCCGTGGGGGGAGGCGGGGCTGGGGCAACGGCACATGTGCCCCCCAAAAGGGCTCCGAGTGCCGCCTCTGGCACGCGTGCCATAGGTTTGCCACCACTGGTATAAATCCTTCCATTACCCACCATCCAGTCGGAGCTGAAGAAGCTTCTGGAATGAGAAGCGAAACGTCTTCAAAGAAAAACAAGAAAGTCCAATTGCCCCTTGAAAAAGCATCTTTGGGATGACCTGGATGACTGAGAATCTCCATAGAGACCCACTACAGTGGTCACTTACTCAGGGGTACTTGGTGTTACCATCTTCTGGTTCCACTATCCTCAAATATCCTGCTAGTCTGCCTGTTTCTTTTTTTCTTTTTTTAAGTTTTATTATTATTATTTTTAACAGAGTTCAATAATAATTATTCAACAAAAGCGTGTTATCTGAGTATCTTATTCACTAATACAAATTAAATTCCTAATCCCTAAATCTTTTCTCTAACCATTGATAAAATAGGTCCCAAGTTTGAAAATGTTCTGTTTCTTCTTTTTCTTTCAACCTTAAAGTAAGTCTGTCCATTTCCGCACGGTCTAATATTTTGTTGATTATTTCTTCTTCTGGTGGTATTTCTTCGTTCTTCCAGTATTGTGCAAATTCTTGCGGCTGTTATCACATGTAAAATCAGATATGTACTTTGCTTATCACGTTTTTCTGGCATTATACCTAATTAAAAAAAAATTCAGGTTTATAGTCTATGTGTTTCTCTAACATTTTTTCTAACCAAATGTGGATTATTGTCCAATATCTCCTTGCTTTAACACATGTCCACCACATATGATAATAAGTACCTGGTTTGTGTTTACATTTCCAACATTTCTCTGACATGTTTTTAAACATTTTTGCTAATCTTGTTGATGGCAAATGCCATCTATAAAACATTTTATATAAGGTTTTTTTTGTATGAAGTTGACATTGTTAATTTATAGTTTCTTTCCCACAAACTTTGCCACTTTTCTAAGTCTATATTATATCCAAAATTCTTTGCCCATACTATCATTGTTTTACTTGTTCATCTTCCATTTTGAAATGTAATAAGAAATTGTACATTTTTTTGATTAACTTTTCATCAGAAGTTGATAATGTCTGATCAAACATAGTCTGTTCTTTGTAAAATCCATACTGTTCAATATCTTTATCATATCTGACTTGCATTTCTAAATGTGACCACCATGTTAAATCAATGCTCTGATTTTCCATCTCTTGCCTAGATTTGAAGTTCCTTTCAGAATTTAGAATATCTTTATATGTCCATATTTTATCGAGACTGACTATATTTGGACTATATTTGTTGAAAGCCATCCTGGAATTTTCAAATAAATTTTACATTTTATTTTTTCCCAAGTTAATAATATATGCATTTCTAATATAGTAGTTTTGGAAGTATTTATGTATTTTATTTTTTCCGTACCATAGAAAAGCATGCCAACCAGGTTGCAGGTCATGTCCCTCCAGATACAGCAATCTTTTATTTTTAAGAGTTATCCATTCTTTTATCCATGTTAACAGTGATGCTTGATAATATAAAACCCAATCTGGCAAGCCAAAGCCTCCATTTCCCTTGGCTTCTTGTAACATTTTCAATTTAATTGAAGGAAAGAATAGAATAGAATAGAATAGAATAGAATAGAGTAGAGTAGAGTAGAGTAGAGTAGAGTAGAGTAGAGTAGAGTAGAGTAGAGTAGAATAATAACTTCATTGTCACTTTAAATGTACACTAATCAACATACATTAAAATGAGATTTTGTTGCATACAGCTCTCAAAGAGTAACCACCTTCAATATACACTGCAACACACGACAAAAATAAATAAATTATGCATATATCCACATACACACACATATGTGGTCCAAAGAAATAGCACAGCCTAGTTTGGATGTATACTTGTACATGCGAGAAAAACGAATCTTGTGAATTTACCAGATGGATGGCACAGGGAACAAAGCTATTACAGAATCTGATTGTCCTGTTATAAATACTTCAAAACCTCCTCCCAAAGGGGAGCAACAGAAACAGACCGTGAAGTGGGTGAGTGGGGTCTCTTAAAAATGCTTCGAGCGTGTTTGTGCTTCGGAGGAGGCAGGTGGGATGTGGTGCCAGTTTGCAATTTACAGAAGCTTGTGGGGGCAGGGGGGAGGAGGACGCGTGTGTTTGCACTTTGGAGAAAGGGAGAGAGAGAAGAAGGAAAAAAGGAAGGAAGGAAGGAAGGAAGGAAGGGGAGGGAGAAGGAAGGAAGGAGATGGGAATGAGAAAGGGAGGCAGGCAAGGAAGGAGGGGAGGGGGAAGGAAGGAAGGAAGGAAGGAAGGAAGGAAGGAAGGAAGGAGATGGGAATGAGAAGGCGGGAGGTACATGACCTTGGAGATGCTGTAAGGGTCATAAGTGAAAAATGCTCATAAACCACTTTATTCAGTGCCTTTGTAACTTCAAACAGTCACTAAGCTAACTGTTGTAAGTCGAGGACTACTGTTCTTTATCATTGTTTTCCTTTTGGGGGTGTCATCAAGTTTTGACACCTTGCTAGGTGACTGGAAAAGCCCTGAGTTAGAGCAGGGCTTTTCAACCTTTTCACTGATTGTATCACTTTTAGAATATGGCAATATTCAAGTACCACCAGTCACCTTGCAAGGTGTCAAAAACTTGATGATCAAAAAACCCTCCGGAAAAAAAGTGATAAAGTACAAGTAGTCCTCACCCCCCTTTAATATCATGTCTTCCCCCACTCCCTTTAATATCATCTCTTCCCCCACTCCCTTTAATATCATCTCTTCCCCACCCCCTTTAATATCATCTCTTCCCCACCTCCTTTAATATCATGTCTTCCCCCACTCCCTTTAATATCATCTCTTCCCCCACTCCCTTTAATATCATCTCTTCCCCACCCCCTTTAATATCATCTCTTCCCCACCTCCTTTAATATCATGTCTTCCCCACCCCCTTTAATATCATCTCTTCCCCACCGCCTTTAATATCATCTCTTCCCCCACCGCCTTTAATATCATCTCTTCCCCCACCCCCTTTAATATCATCTCTACCATAGCCATGCCCACACAGCGGGCCACGCTCACCTGGCACCCAGAGATACGTAAATGGGTTTTGGGCTGCAGTTTGGGCACCCGGTCTCTAAAAGGTTTGCCATCACTGCAGTAGGTATTGAGTGGAGTCCAAAATGTCTTTAATTTCAAAATGTTGTTCCCTTTCTACCATAATGGGAGGAGGGGGTGGAGCAACAGCTGGCCTTAATGGTGACTGTTGCTCGCACTTTAAAAAGCTGCAGTGGAAGATTGGGTGGATTTGCCTGAGGGATTTTGGGAGTTCTAATTCCACTGTTACTGGATTTATAATTCTAACAATGGGGAATGGTCCTACATATTTGGGTCAAGTTTTTTAGATGGTTGTAGGGATTTTAGTTACTTAGTAGATAGGTAAACCATTTCCCCTATGTTAAAAGGTTTTGGCTCGACTCTCTTTTTGTCTGCTTGAGTTTTGTATGCTTGTCTAGCCTCATCCAAAGCTTTCCTAACCACCGGCCAGGTGTTCTTTAGTTGTGCAATCCACTCCCTTAACGAAGGGATGGCAGGTTCTGCAGGGGAAAGTTCTGGCATCGGGTTAAAACTTTGTCCTGTGGCTACTTGGAATGGAGTGTAGCCCGTACTGGAGTGAACGGCATTGTTGTAAGTGACCTCCGCAAATGGGAGTAGGTCTGTCTAGTTGGTCTGCTGGTAATTAATAAAGCATCTAAGATATTGTTCTAGTACTGAGTTTGACAGTTCAGTCCCACCATTCGTTTGCAGATGATGACTAGATGACAGTCCCTGAGTGATTCCTAACAGTCAAAAACTCCTTCCAAAACTTCGATGTGAATTGTACTCTCTGTCTTATATGATGCACTGTGGGGCTCCATGCAAGCGATAGATGTGCTGAACAAACGGTTTCGCTAGGGCTTTTGCTGCAGGGATTTTTGAGCAGGGGATAAAATGCACTTGTTTGGAAAACAGGTCCATTATGACCCAAATGAGGGTGTTTCCTTTGCTCTCTGATAGCTACACTCTAAAATCTATAGAGATCTCCTTCCAAGGTGCCGAGGGGGTTGCTACTTGCTGTAGCAGCCCAGGTGATTTTCCTTGTAATCTTTTTGCTGACGTGCAAATTGGGCAGCTGGCTACATAGCTTTCAATGTCCTTTTTTGTTGATGGCCACCAAAATTGCCTTTTAACTAGGTGTTGTGTCGACACAATCCCAAAGTGGCCTGCTGATTTTGAATCATGGCAAAGTTGCATGAATGCCAGTCTCTGACTTTTGGGTATGTATAGTTTTTCTCCCACCCAGGGTATGCCATCTGTGATGGTGCACAGGTTCTTGTGACCTAGAAACCACTCATCAGTTTCCAGCGCTTTTCTGAATTCAATTCCTGCCTGGCTCGCTAGCGGTTTTTGTAGTTTGGCTTCTGCTCAGGTAGTTACTCATGCTGCCAGCTGCGTTTCTGGCATGAGTGGTTTTGTTACGCTAGCCCGAGTGCTATACTGTGGCAATCTGGATAATGCGTCTGCCAGGAAGTCCCCCCCCCGGCAGATGTTTCAGTGTGAAATTGAACTGGTGGAAATGTGACCACCGTGCTTGCTTAGGGGTAAGTTTCCTGGGCGTCTTTAGTGCTTCCAGATTCTTGTGGTCGGTCCACACTTGGAAAGGAATTTTGTTCCCCTCCAAAAAGTGCCGCCATGTGAGAAGAGCCCACCATACTACGTACGCCTCTTTTTCCCAGACCGCCCACCTCTGTTCAATTTTGGTGAGTTTTCTCGAAGTGTACGCGCAGAGCTGTAATGCCCCTTCATTGTTTTCTTGTAACAGTACAGTACAGCTCCCACTGCTACATCGCTGGCATCTGAATTACAAAAGGCTTGTTGGTGTCGGGATGCCTTAGGACTGCTTCTACGGAAAACAGCTTTTTCAGCCTCTTGAATGTGGCTTGGCATTTTATTGTCCATTTCAACAGCTGGCTTGGCTTGGGTTTTCCCTCCCCTCTGGTTTTTAGTAAGTTCATGATTGGTAAGGCTATTTGGGTAAAAGAGGGAATAAATTGCCGATAGAAGTTAGCGAATCCCAGGAAGCTATGCAATTGCTTCCTCGTGCAGGGTAGCACCCATTCTAGTACTGCCCGGACTTTCTCGGGCTCCATTTCTATGCCCTCTGGGGATATGCAGTATCCCAGATAGTCTATTTTATCCTTATGGAATTCACACTTAGAAAGTTTGGCATAGAGGTGGGCTGCCCATAGTTTGTTTAGGACTGCCCTGACCAGTTTGACATGGTCCATGGTCTCTGTGAATATAAGGATGTCATCCAGGTAAACAAGCACACCCTTGTATAGGTGCTCCCTTAGCATGTCATTTATCAGTTGCATGAACACGGCAGGAGCTCCCTGTAGTCCAAAAGGTAGAACTTGGAATTGGTAGCATCCTAAGGGGAATTAAAAGTGGTTTTCCACTCGTATCCTTCCTTAATCCTGATTCAATAGTATGCTTCGACCATCTAGGCTTGTGGTGGCATTCTGTCACCACCTCCTCTTCCAAAGAACTTGAGGATCCGGAACTGGAGTGTTTGCAGGGGTTCTGCTCAGCGGGAGGTTCCCCCCCATAGCAGATTCCTCTCTCTCTATTCCATTGTCTGACATGATTTGCCAAGTCCCCCAGTAAGGGCTTTCCTTCCGGGCTGACTATTACTGCAGATCCTGTCCAATGTCAGGGCCCACTTCAAAACCTCCTAAGAAAGCAGAACTCGTGGAAACAGTTTCTTCCAAAAGGAACTTTTATTAGGAGAAGCTGATAGCAGGCATAATAGACAGGATCTGAGGGTTTCCTGCTCAGATCAATAGGTTAAAAGTGTCCTAAGCAAACCCCACCCCAAGGTTCATCCGGTCAGTTCAAATGGGCCAATCCCCAAGTGTTAAGTCCATTGTGGGAAAGAGCAGATAACGCCAGGCTGTCTCAGGGTTGCAACAATGTTTTGTCGGCTCTTCACACCTTCCCTTCCGAAACGGAGATAAATCAGTTGCCGGAGGCGGATTCCTTTCTTTTCCCCCCCTTTGTAGCTGACATCAAGGGGAAAGAGGAGGTATGCAGAAATGCAAAGTGTTACAGTGTAGCGATAGAGGAAAACAGAGTAATAACCCGCAATGCTTTTCCCCCTCCCCTCCAGGAGCATGGTAGAATCCAGAAGTATAGAAAGAGTAGAGTTAGAATTAAAGGTAGAAAAAGGACCCCTTAGAATATGGGTTCTGACAGCAAGTTAAGGCAGAACCTCCTATGAAAGGAAAAGGAATGACTGAGAAATCATTTTAAAAGCCACATCAGTGACATCCTATATTCATTTTAATCTGTTTTAGGATGGCCGGCAATGAGGAACAGCACAGAGTTTAAAGGGGTGAGGATGTAAGATAAGTCCTATTAGCGGTTCCTGACTGGGTTCTTTCGTGCCTTCTGGCCGCTGCAATTTGAAGGTCCTGAGCAGATTGGTAAAGAAAAGGAAAGATTCCATCCTGGCTAAGGCTTCCCACACACAAAAACGAGCCCCTGCAAAGGAAATGTTAGAAAAAACAGAAAGGGAAGAATTATATCCATCATGGAGAGGCAGCCCTGGTATCTATCACCTCTCCTCTCCTCTCCTCTCCTCTCCTCTCCTCTCCTCTCTCCCTTCCCCTCCCCCTCTCCTCCTCCTCCTCCTATTCTATTCTATTCCTATTCTATTCTATTATGTTCTGTTCTGTTCTTATTTCTATATTCTATTCCATATTATCCTATCCTATCCTATCCTATCCTATCCTATCCTATCCTATCCTATCCTATTCTAGCCAGTCCCTAACCACTAGAAAAATTATTCAGAGTTTACCTGCTCCAAATGGCAGAAATTCTTCTCTCTTCATAAAATTCCCATCCTTGTCCAAAAAATGATTTGGATTGAATTCCTCAGGCCTCTCCCATTGCTTGGGATCCCGAAGAACTGAATGTAAATCTATAAGAACGAACGTTCCCTGAAGGGAAGACAATTAACAATGGATGAGTCAACTCACATTTAGTCTTTGACTAATATTACACTAATCTTAGGCCACAATCCAACACTGCTTCTCTGAATTTGGTGCTGCTAGCTCCTTCTCTATAGTTATCAAAAACCACTACAGTGTTATGATTTTAGATATTTCTGCATGAAGTCAAGAGAAAATGTAGGTGTGACTGGTTATAAGCATAAACATACATTATAAAGTTCCTTCTTCTTTAGATTTTTTCTTTTAGTGTGCCTCTAAGACTCTGCATAACCCAAGAGGTTGCTCTAAGGATTTATGTCATAAAGTGGGACTCTTAAATACTCATTTCATTCGATGGAACGAAGCCATCCAGATCTCTCTTACCTTTGGAATAAAAAAGCCACATGTGTTTACATTTGTCACCGTTTGCCTGGGACCACTAACCAATAAGACGTATTTTAAACGTAGAATTTCATGAAGCACAGCGTGAGTGTAAGGCAATTTCCACCGGTCTTCGTAACAGACTGAGTCACAGGAACCCAAAGCAGTTTCCATTTCTTTGTAGACTTTATCTGGGTGAAATGTGAGAAAATGTTACTACGGTTAGTCCTCAAATTTAGTATTTGACTAATATTACACTAATCTTAGGCGACAATTCAACGGTGCTTCTCTGCCCAAACTTTCTGCTAAGTGAGACATTTGTAAAGTGAGTTTTGCCCCATTTTACAATCTTTTTTGCCACAAGTGTTAAGTGAATCACTGCAGTCGTCAAGTTAGTAACTCGGTTGTAAAATGAATCCGGCTTCCCCATTGACTTTGCTTGTCAGAAGGTCGTAAAAGGGGATCCCATGAGCCCAGGATACTGCAATGGTCATAAATATGAGTCAGTTGCCAAAGGTCTGAATTTTGATCACATGACGATGAGGATGCCACAATGATCATAAGTATGAAAAATGGTCATAAGTCACATTCTGAGATCCCTTTTACAAGAAGGTTGATCCAGCGACTCACTTTCCATTTTTTTGTGTGATAAAAATAGCATGGAATATTTTCTTTAGGACTTCATAGCTCTATTCTCTCAAACCATCTTTAAGCCTTTGTGCATGACAACTGTTTTGTTCTCAAAACAGTAAAATAGAAACCCAGAGGGTCTACAGTAAAGAGGGGCAAGGATAATATCTTATGGTAATTAACACATTTAACTATTACAAACTTCAATGAACTGAAGACAGCAAATTAACAAAAAGATCCATATGAACAGTACATTCTTTTCTAGAATTAATTCATTTCATTTAGTCAGAAACATGTTGTAACATAATGCATCATCCTCTCATTTTTATCACATATATAAATAATTGTTATTAAATAATTTTTAATGAGATACAAACAATACAACTGTTGAAAAGGAAGCAAAATAAGGAAAATAATAGTAAGTGAAAAAGAAAAGAAAAAGTTATAAACTTTCTTTAAACGTTTTCATTTTTATTACACTTCAAAAAGAGATAACAACTCATATCTTGGATTGTTATTTAAAATCAGAATAACTTTCTTTTCAGTTATATGCAGTGCTTTTTTTCTAAAAAAAAAAAATAAGATGCCGGAACTCACACACGTCATACAACCCGCCTTGCCTATCCTACAAGGTTCCATCCAAAAAAGATGCCGGAACTCCGTTCTGTGCGTTCTATGACAAAAAAAGCCCTGGTTATATGGGATTATATCTTTTGTTGTATTCAGAGTTCCATAAATGAAAGCTCTTCATAAGAAGATAAATCCGATATAATTATTAGATTCAAATCCGATAATTCAATTTCACATTGCGATCCTTAAGAATTCTTTCCGACATTATATTAATATTCAAGTTGAAAGCCACAACATAATAAGACCAACCATATGAATGTTAAAAACCTGCAAATTTCTTACATTATCAACACAAGATGTTTTGATGTCTATCTTTTTAAAATAATTCTGCAAGGAGTCCACTTAACCCAGGAAATATTGTCTGATGGATTAGTTCCTTTCCTAATATATTTCACATTTTTAAAATTCCTGGACTCATCCATTTTCCAGAGGTGACACTTATTTGCTTACCAAGGATTAAAATAACCACAATAAGTTTCATTCCAGAAAAACATAGATGTTCAGATAAAGACCCAATAGTATATTTGAAAAGCTAGTTGGCTATATTCTCATAACATCAGCAATTTGATATTCTAAGGTCTTTAGCCTCCCCAAACAACATTCTCATTAAGTGAGATATTTGCATGAATTCACACTGGCTTCACTCTTAAAAATATTTATTAGTCTGGATCAGCGGTGGGATTCAGCCAGTTCGCACCACTTCGGCAGAACCGATAGCTAATTTTTTGTTGCCCAGAATGGACTTCCAGAAGTGGCATCCATACCGTTGTTCACATATTTGAATCAAGGTAATTATGATTTAGTAGCTGATCGGCAGAAGTGATATATAGAGAATGAGTCAGGAGAGTATTTGGGGGTATTATCCCTTTAAGAGGCTGCATCTGAGGAGAATGGCAGTTGGAACCTCCTTGCTCACTTCAACCGTTTGAATATAACTATCTTGTATACTGTAGGCTCCCTGATTATTGTTGTTTCATATTGTATATTAAACCACAGTTCTTTTAACAAACCACTGTCAGATGTTTATGCTCCTGTGTTAGAAAATAAGAAAAAGGCTGTGATAATTTATATCTTAAACAACTAAAAGGACTTGGGGGGAGGGGGAGGTTTTCTTCTCCAAGCTTGTGAGTTTTTTTTCCCCAAGTTTTTTTTTATTAATTTTCCAATATTACATTTACGTATTTGAAAAGTAGCGTGGCAGCTGAGAACAGTAATTCCATTACATTTGAATATCATCAGTACAAATCTCAAAGTATTACAACAATTAATTCCCTCTCTTTCCCTCATAGTATCTACTGTCTCATATTTGGACCAATACAGTTCTTATTCTATCAGTCAAACAAAAATATCTTTCTAGCATTCATCAATAATCTTCAGTCTATACATATCTTAATTGGTTTTAATGTGGAATAATGAACAATTACTAAAATAATGATTTGTCTGCATAATTACTAGAATAATGATGTGTCAGGAATAATGCATAATCACTAGGAAAATTCTGTGTCACTAATATGTGACTAACCTAATGCGCATTGCACATGGATACAATGTATGTAGCAAACCCTCCATTGTATACCCGTGAGAAACGAACCTAATGTATTACAATGTGTATTACAATGTGTAGTCCTTTGTTCCTGAGAAAAGGAAAGTATAAAACTGAAGTTTGAACCCGCCCTCAGGGTTCAGAATTGCTTGTCTCTATTGCTTCTGAACCTGTGCAATAAACCTCTCTGCTAAAACCCTCTGGAATTCATAAGAGTCCTTTCGTTTTCCACAAGAATTAGACATTCCATCTTTTAGACAATAACCTAGTAAGTTTTTCTTAACTTTAATTTCCCATTGATATTTAAATTTAACGTTTAATCTTTATCATTTTAAATGACCCCAATTTCTAAATCTCCTATCTCATATTTGGGGCTAATAATTTTTTTTATTTTCTTCCTTCCTTTCCCCCCCCAAAAAAAAGAAAGAAAAAAAACCCGTCAGCATTTGTACCACAAACCAATATACAAATTTAATTATTAGTATATGATAATAATAATAATAATAATAATAATAATAATAATAATAATAATAATAATAATAATAATAAAAAAGTTGGAAGGGACCTTGGAGGTCATATAGTCCAACCCCCTGCTCAGGCAGGAAACCCTATACCATTTCGGACAAATGGCTGTCCAGTCTCTTCTTAAAAACTTCCAGTGTTGGAGCATTCACCACTTCTGGAGGCAGGTTGTTCCACTGGTTAATTGTTCTAATTGTCAGGAAGTTTCTCCTTAGTTCTAGGTTGCTTCTCTCCTTGATGAGTTTCTACCCGTTGTTTCTTGTCCTGCCTTCAGGCGCTTTGAAAAATAACTTGACTCCCTCTTCTTTGTGGCAGCCCCTGAGATACTGGAACACTGCTATCATGTCCCCCCCTCGTCCTTCTCTTCATTCAACTAGACATACCCAATTCCAGCAGCCGTTCCTTATATGCTTTAGCCTCCAGTCCCCTAATCATCTTTGTTGCTCTTCTCTGTACTCTTTCTAGAGTCTCAACATCTTTTTTACATCGTGGTGACCAAAACTGGATGTAGTATTTCAAGTGTGGCCTTACCAAGGCCTTGTAAAGTGGTATTAACACTTCATGTGATCTTGATTCTATCCCTCTGTTAATGCAGCCTAGCACTGTGTTGGCCCTTTTGGCAGCTGCAGCACACTGCTGGCTCATTTATACTTCTAAGTTTTACTTAACCTTTGTCTCAACTCATAACAATATCTTAAATTCAAATCTTAGTTATTTTTAAATATTCAAACTTTTAGCCAATCAGTGACCTGATAGTTAATTTTCCGTTAATATTTTAATTTAACGTTTAATATTTTTTCCAAATTTTTAATTAAGCACAATTCCTTTATCACAATTCCTCATACAATCTAATATTTAAAATACACACCTTATATATAAATTCTACCATCTATCTTAACAAACTAATAAAACAATATAATATTCTTATTTCAATATTTATATTTCTAGATTTTATATAACCAAAATTTTCTTTATCTCAAATCGTTACAATATCTTATGTTCAGAATATATATTCTATCCATTTGGATATACTCTATTTTAGATCTCATGTGTAAATCAAAACCCCAATTCTTTTCAGTTTTATTCTAGCTTTTTTTCTTTACCAAGTCATCTTTCGTATCTTTGCTTTTAAATCATCAAAAAGATCTCGTTGTATTGTCGTGGCTATTGTTTGATATTGATAAAAGTGTCCAGTTGATGTTTTCTTAAGAGGACTAGCTGATCACCTCTTTGGGGTGACTCGGTCATTTTCAGCTCCCCCCCCCAGCGATGCGAAATTGAACGGGGGAGAGAAAGCAAATCTCCCAGTCATCCATGGTGGCCGCATGACAAACCGGAAGCCTCCAAACGTGTGGGTTGGTTTCTGAACATGTCGTTACCAGGCTAGGTAATCTCGTCAACTGAGTTTAGGGGATGTCAGTGTTCTGTTTATAAGGGCTTAAGGTGTGGGTGTGTCAAGTGAGGGTCTTGGGTCACATGTGAGTCATCAGTGAGGGGCTAGTGATGGGTCTTGTGATGGAGAGCTTACATCAGGTGAGGGTCCTTGGGAGGTGAAGTGCTGGCTATGGGGGATTGCGCGGGATGGTTGAGGGGTGGTGCCATCCCTGGTTGGCTGTGCAGTGGATTTGAATCCTCAGGGGTTGTAGGCTGATTGTAGGTTGATGTGTCTGTGGATGGAATTGCTTGTGGGGTGCCAGGCTTTGACAAACTCACAAGCATGGTGGGTGGTAGTGTGGCCGATGATTTTAGTGTTGCTCCAATCGAACTGGTGCTGTTTGGTGTTGGTGTAGGTAGAGATTAAGGATTTGGGATTGTGGTTTTTGACTGTCAGAAAAGGATTTTTCATTGAAGCTCCAGGTCTGATCTAAGATCACTGGATGATTGTCACCATGTATGATTTTCTTAAATAGTACTGAGAAAAGAAGATGCATAAGATCCTTCCATCCATGATCATAAAGAGCCGTGGTGGCGCAGTGGTTAGAAGGCAGTTACTGCAGGCTATTTTTGCTGATGGCCAGCTGCCAGCAGTTTGATTCTCACTGGCTCAAGTTTGACTCACCCTTCCATCCTTCCGAGGTCGATAAAATGAGAACCCAGATTGTTAGAGGCAATATGCTGACCCTGTAAACCACTTAGAGAATGCTGTAAAGCAGTGTGAAGCGATATGTAAGTTTAAGCGCTACTGCTATCATCTCATCAAGATCTTCAGAAAAATGGGAGGGGAGATCTCCTAGAATTGGGGATTTCCATGGCAGATGTAAAGATTCATCCTTCAGGGTGAAGTTGGGCACAGGAGACATTCGTCTCTATAATAATTTATTCAGTCTTATTTCGTAGATGAGCCAGAACTACCCTATTTTCTTACCTTGGATATCTGGATATGCCACCATGAAGAACAAAGCCCATTGCAGAAAACTTGCTGTTGTTTCTGTCCCAGCAAAAAACAATTCCAGAATGCTATGAGTCATGTTTCCATTATCAAAGGTAGAGTTGGGTTCACTGTGTTTCTAACAAAAGGGGAGATTTTAGTTAGAATTATTTATTACTTGGGTACCTTCAAGTTAGTCTTGACTCTTGGTGACTTCTTGACAAGTCCCTGCAGTTTTCTTGGCAAGATTTCAGAAGTGCCATTGCCTACTTCCTAGATCTGAAACAGAATGGCTGGCACAAAATCACCCAGCTGGCTTTGTGTCTAAAGTGGGACTTACCGTTTTCTGGTTTCTAATCTTCCATCTACACTGAACTGGCTCTTTTAATTAGAATTTGGTATATGCAAAATCTATTTTTTTCTGGGAATGGAACATTCTAAAGAAATCTGGAACTTCCCACTTTTTCTCTGGACCTTGCTGATCCAGCTGGTGTAATCCAAAATAAAGTCTAATTTTTCTACAAGTGAATCCTCTAGACTAGAAGTAGTTCATGGTGTTCAAAATGACACAGGATTATCATTTCAGCAGTGAAACCCATTAGGGACACCAAGAATTACTTCCAGATGAAAGATTAATTTCAGGAAATCATTGAACCAGGTTAGCACGGAAGTGGAAAAGATGTAGAATGTTCTGGAATTCTCTGTAATGTTCCATTCTCAAACAGAATGTGTATTTAACATGTACAGGTCACATTGAAGATTGTTTGATCATTGTGCTACCCTCATGTCATGATATTAAACAGCTGTTTTTGGGTGTTTTGAATATTTGGTTCTTATCTTTTAATTAATTTACAACAAGAATCCATGAGACCAAAGTAACTTCAATTGATCATATGTGTTAAGACTTTTAATAAATATTTCTAAACAGATCACCCTTGAATTTGAAAAGTTTCTAGTTCAGAACACCTCTAATTTAGCTCTGACTGAATTATTCTCAAAGGCTCAAAAAAACCCACCCTCTTAACATGCCTGTGTATCCCAGCAGGCATGACTAAAATTTCCAGAAGGATCTTTACCTTTTCTATCTCGAGTAGATACAGATCTAGGAAATCCTTTGGCTGACGCTGGGCCAAACCTTGAATGTGTTTTTCTGCCTCTTCCTTTATAATTAATAAACCTTTCTCTATGGACTCTTGTATCTTCTGATGAGGTCCTGGGAGATGTTTCATTAGCCATGGAAGCAAATCATTGAGCTATGTAGGAAGTAAAAAAAAACTCCTATCAGGTCCTTGATGGTAATACAGGTAGTCCTCAATTTATAACTGTTCATTTAGTGACTGTTCAAAGTTACAACAACACTGAAAAAAGTGACTTGTGACCATGGTTCACACGTACAACTGCTGCATCATCCCCATGATCACATGATCAAAAGTGAAGGGAGTCTGGGAGTTCACCCTGGGCGTCATGGCGACATAGATGCAAGAAAACAGAGCTCCAGTTTCCTAGTCCGATTTCGCTTTGTCTGGAGACCCAAAGAGGTCAGAAAGTCGCCCTGAAGAGGCAACGAGGAGGAAGGGAAACATTTGAAGTTTGGAGCCAAGGGCGGACCGAGGAAACTCTTCAAACAGGCGGGAGAAAGGGTGCCGGCAAGTACGCAGACAGCCCAAGCCACAGACAGCCGGGGAAGAAGTGAAGAACCGCGGCAGTGCCTCCGAACAGCTGACTGTCAACAACATGTTTGACCTGGATGAGATTCTTCTTTATTTCTCTTCCCTATGGACTTTTAAAATATAATTCCCTGAATTGGATAACTTTTAAAAGTAAAAAAAACCGGGAAAACTTGGGAAGAAGAGAGTTAAAAGAGGTGAGAAATCTGGAATGGGGAAACAAAATTAAGGAATATAAAAATATGCAGAAAAGATTTGACAATGATTGAAAAGAAAAAAATGATAATCTGTTGTTGGCTAATTTTTTTGATTTGGGAAGATTTTTTACTTTGTTGTGAAAGAGCATTTTAAATAATAGTTTTACTACTGGATAGATACACTATAACTAATGAGGACATCTAGTGGTGAAGGAAGATACTACAATAATACAGAAAAAAATCAGGAGAGTGATGACCTTGAAACAGCACCTATGCTAAACAAAGAACATCCTGTGTTTCTACAAAAGAAAAAACAAAAAAAAATTTTAAACTACATCTTTCAACTTTAGACATAACTATTATAGAAACTATTTAGCGACAGGGTTTTTTTCTTTTCTTTTTTCTTTTTTTCTCTATTATTTTTGAACTGACAGAAATATTTTGATTAGACTTAGGCAGTTGGTTTTTTTATTTTGCTGGATTACCTCTTATTTATGTTTATGTTTATGTTTATTTAGATTTGTATACCGCCCTATCTCCCTTACGGGTCTCAGGGCGGTGAACAGGCGATAATAAAAATCACAATAAATATCTATTCTAAAATCAAATTAAATAAATAAAGGCCTGCTCTAAAATACCCCCATATAAAAACCTATACTAAAACCTAATTAAGACTACACCAGGCCGGCTGCACGAAATAGATGGGTTTTCAGGGCTCGGCGAAAAAGGCGCAGGTCCGCAGTTGTACGTAGGTCGGGGGGTAGGTCATTCCAGAGGGCAGGAGCTGCCACAGAGAAGGCTCTCCCCCTGGGAGAGTACCGTACATACTCGAGTATAGGTCGACCCGAATATAAGCCGAGGGACCGATTTTCCCACAAAGAACTGGGAAAAATTGGTGACCCGCTTATAAGCCGAGGGGGCATTTTGGCTGTTCCTCCCTGACCGTCTCGGCCTCCCTAGCCCTGTCGGTGAGCGCCCGTCAGGGTGCAGCATCGCCAGGCCTCCCCCCTTCGCGCGAGGCATCTGGCGTTCCCCCTCGCGCTTAGCTGCGGCGGCCCGGGGTATTCCGTCCCGGCCTCAACACGCAGCACCGCAGGGAACGGAAGGTAAGGGGGGAGGGCCGTACCTGGAGCATCACAGGCCGGGGCGNGGGCGAGCCGCCGGCGCCGGCGCCAGGCAAGCAGGTGGAGCGCAGCGCCAGGGGAGGGGGAGCGAGCGGCGAGCCGCCGTGGCTTGCCTGGCGGCGGCGGCGGCAGCAACAGCTGCTTCAAGACGCTGACTCGAGTATAAGCCGAGGGGGGCATTTTTCAGCCCCAAAAATGGGCTGAAAAACTCGGCTTATACTCGAGTATATACGGTAGTTGGCTTTTTTTAAAAAAAAAAAACTTGGATTAGCCTAAAGCAGTTGGCTCCTTTCTAAACTTGGATTATAGCCTAAAGCAGTTGGCTCCCTTTTAAACTTGGATTATAGCCTAAAATAGTTGGCTCCTTTTTAAAGTTGGATTTTAGCCTAAAGCAGTCGGCTTTTTTTTTCTCTTCTCCTTGTGGATTTACAAAATTTGCCTGATTGAACAATAAGTGCACCAAACCTCACTAAAATTACAAAAAAACCTGCTTCTGCACCCTCTTCTGGAACATCCAGTCCAGCAAGTCAGGGATCTATTGAAGCAATGTTACAACGAGAGAAGGCAAACAACCTCCAAAAAGAGATGCATGCCACCTTACAATTAATACAAGAAATGATGCAGAAGAATCATCAAGAAACAAAAAGCAACCTTGACAAGCTAAATGAACAAATGCTTGACATAAAGACACAATTTGAGGTTCACCAACAAACGATCCTTAAAAATGAACAAAGAATTCAGAAAGTGGAAGATCAATCAGAAGATACTGGAAAATTAAGCACTAATGACAGAGAATGAAAGATTAGAACAAGCAAATCAAAACCTAGAAGGCGCGGTCACTGCTTTCAAAATGGAGAAGGCGGTACACTATTTGAGATTCCAGAACATACCTGAAGATAAAGAGGAAAATATAGCAGAAGTGATTATTAATCTATTAGCAGAGGCCCTAGAAATGGAAAGACCGGAGATGCAGCAAGAAGTGGATGAAATATTTAGAATGAATTCAAGTTATGCAAGGAAACACAAATTGCCCAGAGAAGTCCATGTAAGATTTATGAAGAAAACAATGAGGGATGAGATATTAAGAAGAGTCAGAGATGATCCATTACAATATAAAGATAAAGAAATAGTAGTGCTGAAACAGATTCTCAAGAGAATAAGGGATACTCGAAGACAATATCATTTCTTGACTACAAAGCTGATTGCAAAAGGAGTAAATTTTAGATGGCTGATACCAGAAGGGATTTTAATCAATTGGAATAACACAAGATATCGTTTGGACTCAGTGTGGAAGGCAGAGGATTTTGATGAAAGATATAGAGCATTTCTGGGAGAAAAAACACAATATCTACAAGAGGAAGGAAAAAGCCAGAAACAGACAGAACAAACAATAGAGGAAACAATTACACAGATGGAAGAGGAAAAAGAGAAGATGAATCCAGAAGATGAGGGACTAGTAAAAGAGCAGAGGATTATGAGATCAACAAGATCTAAATATAAGTAAACCAAAATGGAGAAGGAAAATGGATTTTTTTCAGTGAATATAAATGGATTGAATTCCCCATCAAAAGGGAAAAGAATTTTCAAACAACTACAGAAATTAAACGTTGATATAATTTGTTTGCAAGAGACACACATGAAAAAACAACAACATAATTTTTGGGAAAATCCAAAACTTGGAAAACTTTATTATACATCAGTTCAACAAAAAAAGAAGAGGAGTAGTTATATATGTCAAAGAGACAATAGATTCCAAAATGATTTATGCAGATGAAGAAGGAAGAATATTAATGGTAGAAATATTTTTAAACCAAAAACAGATACTTTTGATAGCAATATAGGCACCAAATAATAAACAAGAAGAATTTTATCAAAACCTTCACAGAAAAATAGTAGAAATGGAATATCAAAATATATGCTTAATTGGGGATTTCAATGCAATAGTAGATGGGACATTAGACTATAAAAGCAGTAAATCAGGGAAACAAGGAAGAAAAAGATTACTTAAGACTTTTTTCAATATGATAGAGGAAATTGGTATACAAGATATCTGGAGAGAAAGGAACCCAGGAAAATCACAATACACATTTTATTCTAATAGTCATAAATCTTGATCCAGAATTGATATGATTTGGATGACGCCTGAATTAAGGGTTAATATGCAGGAAATTATTATTATTATTATTATTATTATTATTATTATTAAGAGTAGGAGGGAGGCTCTGATGAGCTGCAGGACTTACAAACTAATGAAGAGGCTGGTCCTTCCACTCGTGATCAAGCTGAGAGCCAGCTGTGCTGGGAAGCTGAATCGGACTCGGAGGAAGCACAGCTGGAAGACTTCAAAGACATTCATAAATGTAGGCAGGTCACACAAGTAGGATAGAGGGAGGCAATGGGGCAACTCCAGGGGAAGAGGAGAAAGCAGTGAGAAGCCACGCCTTGGGGGTTGCGTAACAAAAACGGAATGTGTGGGCAGGGCTGGTGCTAATAAGGGACTTAGAAAGTTCTAAGGGACTCAATAAGAAAATGATTACTCACCAAGAAGAAGGGAGAGCCTGCAAATTTTGTATAATTATTAATGTCTTCTAATATCATCTGGAACTTTGTGTCTTCAGGAGAAAAGCAGTATCCAAAAGTCAAAAGGCAAACCGCATTACAGACTGAACTCGTGACGAATGGTAAAGGGTCAATTGGCTGCCCTGTAAATGAAATTATTAGATAATCATCTTAACAGCGTTCCAGCTTGGAGGAGTAGAACCCTGCCCTCTGGAGTGTCTCACAGCTCAACTCTCTCTACCACCCTATATGCAACATCTACACTGGGTGAGTTTGGGGTTTGGTATCGCGGTATTGGCCAGATGAGCTTGTTGAGATTTGTCCTAGTTTTGGGAGGCTGTGCAGGCTTGGATGGGGAGGAACTATTTCCAACTCAATGATATTAAGTCTGCCTGGCTGTGGACGTTAGGGTCACTTAGATCTAGAGATACACCACCTTTACCTTGGGTGGGGTAGCACTTCCCTAGGCAAAAATAGGGTGTAAATTGCTGGACACCCAGGACACTGAAGGAACAGGTAGCAGCTGTCTCCTGGAAGGTCTTCGCAAAGCTTCCACCAGTGTTCTGGTTACACCTTTTCTTAGAACAGGAGGCCCTTCTGATAGTCATCCATACTCTGGTCATCTCACAGCCTGATTAGTACAATCTGTTCTATGTGGGGCTTCCCTTGAACCCCACCCAGACGCTTCAGTTGGTCCACAATTCAGCTGCACACTCAGTCCTGGACATGTCTCAGGACGCCCACAGACACCTCTGTTTGCAAACTGAACTATCCATTTGCTTCCAGGTATGATTCAGGGTGCTGGATATAAGCTACGTGGCCGAGGAATTGGTTAGGTGAGGGACTGCCTATCTCCTGGGTTTGTCTGACAGGCCAATTCTATCCAGCGTGGTTGAGATGCTCTGGGTTTTTCAGTTAA